AAGGGAAATATTAGTCCTGCTGGGATAGGTGGTTAAACTGAGGCATAAGGAGGCAAGGCTGCTGGCTCCAGGTCATGTCAGTCACCTGAGTGGGCACTCAGCCCTGGCCTTCTGAGTCACGGCCCAGTTCTGTCCCCTGGCAGCACCGCCTCACATCCATAACCGAGATGAGCAGTCTTGTTCTCTTTTAGGTTTGTGGATGGCTCCTAGAAGATCTTGATTCTCTCCGGAGGATACATCGTTTTCCTGGGTCGGTTTCCTGTCACACTGCCCTGCCCCCTCCCAGTCAACCATGAACCAGCTGGACCCTGCTGAGGACCCAGATGCCATCCCTGGCCCCCCGTGTGTGGTGTGCGGCCAAGCCCACGCCCTTGAGGAAAACCACTCCTACACCTACACGGAAGAAGTGGATGATGACCTCATTTGTCACATCTGCCTGCAAGCTCTGCTGGACCCTCTGGACACTCCCTGCGGACACACCTACTGCACACTCTGCCTCACCAGCTTCCTGGTGGAGAAGGACTTCTGCCCTGTGGATCGCAAGCCTGTGACCCTGCAGCACTGCAAGAAATCGAGCATCCTGGTCAACAAGCTCCTCAACAAGCTGCTGGTGACCTGCCCGTTCACAGAGCACTGCGCGCAGGTCCTGCAGCGATGCGACCTTGACCATCACTTTCAAATGAGGTAGGGAGGGGCTTCTCCTCGGCCAATCCAGCGAAGCCCCGCCCCCAGGGCAGCCGCTGGAAGGGTTGGGTGTTCCAGGGCCCTGCTGCTTCCCGAGATGCCTATTTCTCTGCCCTCTGCTTTGCAACCAGTGGAAGGAGTCATTCAAAATAAGAAAGGTCTTAGGTGTTAGTGGCTGTGGTTCAGGGTGAGGAAACAGTATGCGGTAGAGTTGTGGGGTGTGAGTTGCGTGTGTGTGCTTATAGGACTGGGGTTTTTTGTTAAAATATACATCACATAAAATTTACCATTTTCAGTATACAGTTCAGTGGCATTAAGTATATTCATATAGTTGTGCATCCACCACTACCATCCAGCCATCTCCAGAACGTTTTTCATCCTCTCTCTAGAACGAAAACTTCATACCCATTAACACAAACAAACAAACAAACACAAAAAAACTCCCATTCCCTCCTCTCCAGCCGCTAGCAATCGCCATTCTACAATAGTTTCTGTCTCCATGAATTTGACTGCTCTAGGAACCTCATATAAGAAGCATCATTCAATGCTTGTACTTTTGTGATTGGCTTAGTTCATTTGTGTCCATTTGAAATGTGAAAGGTACTGGAAAATCTGATGAGCAGCTTTCTCTGAGGCTCCTGATCCCCAAAAAAGATTTCATGGAGGGCATTGCTTATCTTTTTTGTTGTTGTTAAATTTATTTATATTATTTATTTATTTATTTATTTATTTATTTATTTTTCGGCTGTGCTGAGTCTTCGTTGCTGCGTGCAGGGTTTCTCTAGCTGTGGTGAGCGGGGGCTACTCTTTTTTTTGTTGTTTTAATTTTCTTTTATTTATTTTTTTATACAGCAGGTTCTTATTAGTCATCCATTTTATACACATCAGGGTATACATGTCAATCCCAATCTCCCAATTCATCTCACCACCACCACCACCACCCCCCCACCACTGCTTTCCCCCACTTGGTTTCCATACATTTGTTCTCTACATCTGTGTCTCAGTTTTTGCCCTGCAAACTGGTTCATCTGTACCATTTTTCTAGATTCCACATATATGCATTAATTTGCGATATTTGTTTTTCGCTTTCTGACTTACTTCACTCTGTATGACGGTCTCTAGATTCATCCACGTCTCTACAAATGACCCAATTTCGTTCCTTTTTATGGCTGAGTAATATTCCATTGTATATATGTACCACCTCTACTTTTCATTCGTCTGTTGATGGGCATTTAGGTTGCTTCCATGACCTGGCTATTGTAAATAGTGCTGCAATGAACATTGGGGTGCATGTGTCTTTTTGAATTATGGTTTTCTCAGGGTATATGCCCAGTAGTGCGATTGCTGGGTCATATGGTAATTCTATTTTTAGTTTTTTAAGGAACCTCCATACTGTTCTCCATAATGGCTGTATCAATTTACACGCCCACCAACAGAGCAAGAGGGTTCCCTTTTCTCCACACCCTCTCTAGCATTTGTTGTTTGTAGATTTTCTGATGATGCCCATTCCAGAAGACTGGTGTGAGGTGATACCTCATTGTAGCTTTGATTTGCATTTCTCTAATAATTAGTGATGTTGAGGAGCTTTTCACATGCCTCTTGGCCATCTGTATGTCTTCTTTGGAGAAATGTCTATTTAGGTCTTCTGCCCATTTTTGGATTCGGTGGTTGGTTTTTTTAATATTGAGCTGCATGAGCTGTATATATATTTTGGAGATTAATCCTATGTCCATTGATTCATTTGCAAACATTTTCTCCCATTCTGATGGTTGTCTTTTTCTCTCGTTTGTGGTTTCCTTTGCTGCTGTGCAAAAGCTTTGAAGTTTCATTAGGTCCCATTTGTTTATTTTTGTTCTTATTTCCATTACTCTAGGAGGTGGGTCAAAAAAGATCTTGCTGTGATTTATGTCAAAGAGTGTTCTTCCTATGTTTTCCTCTAAGGGTTTTATAGTGTCTGGTCTTACATTTATGTCTTTAATCCATTTTGAGTTTATTTTTGTGTATGGTGTTAGGGAGTGTTCTAATTTCAGTCTTTTACGTGCAACTGTCCAGTTTTCCCAGCACCATTTATTGAAGAGACTGTCTTTTCTCCATTGTATATCCTTGCCTCCTTTGTCATAGATTAGTTGACCATATGTGTGTGGGTTTACCTCTAGGCTTTCTATCCTGTTCCATTGATCTATATTTCTGTTTTTGTACCCGTCCCATATTGTCTTGATTACTCTGGCTTTGTAGTATAGTCTGAAGTCAGGGAGTCTGATTCCTCCAGCTCCGTTTTCTTCCCTCAAGACTGCTTTGGCTGTTCGGGGTCTTTTGTGTCTCCATACAAATTTAAAGATGTTTTGTTCTAGTTCTGTAAAAAATGCCTTTGGTTATTTGATAGGGATTGCATTGAATCTGTAGATTGCTTTGGGTAGTATTGTCATTTTCACAATATTGATTCTTCCAATCCAAGAACATGCTATATCTCTCCATCTGTTGGTATCATCTTTAATTTCTTTCAACAGTGTCTTATAGTTTTCTGCATACAGGTCTTTTGTCTCCCTAGGTAGGTTTATTCCTAGGTATTTTATTCTTTTTGTTGCAGTGGTAAATGGGAGTGTCTCCTTAATTTCTCTTTCAGATTTTTCATCATTAGTGTCTAGGAATGCAAGAGATTTCTGTGCATTAAGTTTGTATCCTGCAACTTTACCAAATTCATTGATTAGCTCTAGTAGTTTTCTGGCAGCATCTTTAGGATTCTCTATGTATAGTATCATGTCATCTGCAAACAGTGACAGTTTTACTTCTCCTTTTCCTATTTGGATTCCTTTTATTTCTTTTTCTTCTCTGATTGCCGTGGCTAGGACTTCCAAAACTATGTTGAATAATAGTGGCGAGAGTGGACATCCTTGTCTTGTTCCTGATCTTAGAGGAAATGCTTTCAGGTTTTCACCATTGAGAATGATGTTTGCTGTGTGAGTCTGTCATATATGGCCTTTATTATGTTGAGGTAGGTTCCCACTGTGCCACTTTCTGGAGAGTTTTTATCGGAAATGGGTGTTGAATTTTGTCAAAAGTTTTTTTGCATCTATTGAGTTGAACATATGGTTTTTATTTTTCAATTTGTTACCATGGTGTATCACATTGATTGATTTGCGTATATTGAAGAATCCTTGCATCCCTGGGATAAATCCCACTTGATCATGGTGTATGACCATTTTAATGCATCGTTGGATTCTGTTTGCTAGTATTTTGTTGAGGATTTTTGCATCTATATTATCAGTGATTTTGGTCTGTAATTTTCTTTTTTTGTAGTACCTTTGTCTGGTTTTGGTATCAGGGTGATGGTGGCCTCATAGAATTAGTTTGGGAGTGTTCCTTCCTCCGCAATCTTTTGGAAGAGTTTGAGAAGGATGGGTGTTAGCTCTTCTCTAAACGTTTGATAGACTTCACCTGTGAAGCTATCTGGTCCTGGACTTTTGTTTGTTGGAAGATTTTTAATCACACTTTCAATTTCATTACTTGTGATTGGTCTGTTCATATTTTCTATTTCTTCTTGGTTCAGTCTGGGAAAGTTATACCCTTCGAAGAATTTGTCCATTTCTTCCAGGTTGTCCATTTTATAGGCATAGAGTTGCTTCTAGTAGTCTCTTAGGATGCTTTGTATTTCTACTGTGTCTATTGAAACTTCTCCTTTTTCATTGCTAATTTTATTGATTTGAGTCCTCTCCCTCTTTTTGTTGATGAGTCTGGCTAATGGTTTATCTTCTCAAAGAACCAGCTTTTAGTTTTATTGACTTTGCTATTGTTTTCTTTGTTTCTATTTCATTTATTTCTGCTCTGATCTTTATGATTTCTTTCCTTCTGCTAAGTTTGGGTTTTGTTTGTTCTTCTTTCTCTAGTTCCTTTAGGTGTAAGGTTAGATTGTTTATTTGAGATTTTTCTTGTTTCTTGAGGTAAACTTCCCTCTCAGAACTGCTTTTGCTGTATCCCATAGGTTTTGGATTGTCGTCTTTTCATTATCATTTGTCTCTAGGTATTTTTTTATTTCCTCTTTGATTTCTTCAGTGATCTCTTGGTTATTTAGTAACATTGTTTAGCCTCCATGTGTTTGTGTTTTTTACGTTTTTTTTCCCTGTAATTGATTTTTAATCTCATAGCGTGTGGTCAGAAAAGATGCTTGACATGATTTCAATTTTCTTAAGTTTACCGAGGCTTGACCCGTGACCCAAGATGTGATCTATCCTGGAGAATGTTCCATGCACACTTGAGAAGAAAGTGTAATATGCTGTTTTTGGATGGAATGTCCTATAAATATCAATTAAATCTATCTGGTCTATTGTGTCATTTAAAGCTTGTGTTTCCTTATTAATTTTCTGTTTGGATGATCTGTCCATTGGTGTAAGTGAGCCGTGAAAGTCCCCCAGTAGTATTGTGTTACTGTCGATTTCCTCTTTTATAGCTGTTAGCAGTTGCCTTATGTATTGAGGCGCTCCTATGTTGGGTGCATATATATTTATAATTGTTATATCTCCTTCTTGGATTGATCCCTTGATCATTATGTAGTATCTTTCTTTGTCTCTTGTAACATTCTTTATTTTAAAGTCTATTTTATCTGATATGAGTATTGCTACTCCAGCTTTCTTTTGATTTCCATTTGCAGGAATATCTTTTTCCATCCCCTCACTTTCAGTCTGAATGTGTCCCTAGGTCTGAAGTGAGTCTCTTGTAGACAGCATATATATGGGTCTTGTTTTTGTATCCATTCAGCGAGCCTGTGTCGTTTGTTTGGAGCATTTAATCCATTCACATTTAAGGTAATGATCGATATATATGTTCCTGTTACCCTTTTCTTAATTGTTTTGGGTTTGTTTTTGTAGGTCCTTTTCTTCTCTTGTGTTTCCCACTTAGAGAAGTTCGTTTAGCATTTGTTGTAGAGCTGGTTTGGTGGTGCTGAATTCTCTTAGCTTTTGCTTGTCTGCAAAGCTTTTGATTTCTCCATTGAATCTGAATGAGAT